CCTCCTAATAAATGTCCTTACAGAAAATCTAACTGCTCATTTTAAATCTACACTTTGACTTTTAATACTTAACTACAACAAATATCACATACTTTAAGACTTTTACTCAAGTAATATTCCTAAAGGAGATTTTAACTTTTACCAAAGTCATTTTCAGGTAGCATAATTGTACTTTTACTCAAGTATCACTTTGTGGTACTTTATACAACTCTGGTTCCAGGATGACTCAACCCACTCTAACCACTCTGCTACAGCTGCCCCTGAAAATACTGTGAACTTGTAAATACAATGTATTGATTTCAAGTTTTGTGTGCATAGCACCTGTCTTGAGTTATGACAAAAATATATATTTATATTCAAAAACAACAAGTTTTTTCCCAGGTGGGTTAGGGCTGTTCTGACCGAGCTGAACTGTTATACGTCCCTCCACAGGTCCAGCACTCAAACTTCATGCAGCCAGAACTTTCCTGTCTCAGGTTATGACTCAATGAATAATTGTATTTAAGTTTTCCAGGTGTTTTCTGTGCGTTTGGATGGAGCTGAATTGTTACATCATGTCAGCTGCCCAGCGTTCATCCAAACAAATCAGTATCAGTAATATCAATCTGACTAATCCGTCTTTAACAAACTCCTCCAGCAGATGTCAGACCAGAGAAGCCCCCTCTCAGTGACTGCACAGACCCCTCTAGTCCAGTTCCAGATGGTGGCCACAGCTTATTGACCTCATCTAACATAAAATGGGTCTAATTTAGCTTAAGGTTACCTGAGGTGTTTTTAGTTTAAAACTAAAAGGCAGTGGGCCTCATGCATTCTTTCAGGGATCATTAGGAATTAGGCCTGTTGCGATACATTAATCTCACGATATGATACGATATTCAATATTCTGCTCACGATACGATATATATCATGATATTCAGCAAACGATACGATTCAATTTTCTGAACGATTTTAGAGGGACAGAGTGATTTTGGTGACATTTTGTGACTGTTCCATAGACTTGGAACTGTGAAAATGGTCAAATCCACCTCTGGCTGCAGTGTGCCCACCAGACACACACAGATTTTTACAGGAGAACTGATTTCACACAACACCCTCTAAGCTCGAGGCGCTAGATGCATGCCGTGACTGACTGCAGTCAAAAAAAGAGCGCACCGAGCGAGACACTTAATTTGTCTTAAAATACAGACATTCTGACAAATAAGTAACTGTTTGTAACCTTACCTCAGCTTAGAAGGCAGAGGGTGTCGGTCTTTTC